TATATATATATATATATCCAAAAGTTACTGTAACATTGTTAAAATTCAAAGCTAGAGTAACAGCCTCCTGCAGGAACAATCTTATGCCAGTGTGAAATCCGTATAAATGAGCAGAAGTGAGAATAGTGAGAATAGAAGAACAATCTTTTCTCACAATATTTCTGTGGCTAGGTTTGCATAAGGCACTCAATTCTGGCTTAACAAGCCAGAATTCCTGGGTTCACCCAAGTTAATGTCTTCAATGAGTCAATTTCTTGGGTCAGTTTATGCTTGAGGAATTGATTCATACCATCAGATAAGACATATTCTGGACTCCCACAATATATTTTGATCTCAAATGATGAATTGTTCAACCCCAGTTTAGCCTAGTCTAACTGTTGGGTGAGCTCAGCCGTTCTCTAGGACTATCCGTAAAGAGGTAACTTTCTATGTTCAGGGGCTGAAGTACTTACAACAGAGATGGGAGAATCTGGTCCTCTAGATGCTGTTCAGTATTTAACTCTTAGCATCCCTCACCACTGGGTATGCTGGCTGGAACTGTTGGGAACTATTGTTGAGTAGCATGTGGAGGTTCACAAATTCTCCACTGTTCTCTTACAGGCATCCTGTCAGGCCTCCGTGCTTGATATATGAGCATTAGAGCATACAAGGGAATGGTGAAACAACATTTGCAAGCACTCTTGATCTCTGTAGCACAATCAAGTCCATTCACCCTTGATTATGAGATTTTGGGATGCTATTTGGAAAAGCCAACAGTACTTTTCTCCCCATCAAACAGAAACAAAAACACCTTCCAATCATTTCTTACCAACATCTGGTAGCAAAGGGGATTGATATAGCTTAAAGATATAATCAAACATTGAGATATGACCATTATTTTCTTCAGCTGCTTTTCCCATCCCAGAAATGATGAATTTTGATGCTTTATTTAAATCAATGCCCAGCAGGAAAGAATATGTAGCCAACCTTGGTTGACTTCATGTAACTAAGTAGGAAGAGACTTGGCTACTACTTGGTTGGGAGATCAACAGGAAATTCCAGAGCTGCAGGTCAAATGGCAGAGTCTCTCTCTCTCTCTCTCTCTCATCTATATAATCTATATCTATCTATAAGGTAATGGCAAACTACATCTAGTCTCAAAGAGTCAGCCTCAAATTGAAGACACTTATATGCATCTCTTGTATAGAGGCACCATTTAGTTATGCAATAATGAGATTAATTTTAAAAGCTGAGGATATTCTTCAGACCTGTAGTACTGTATGTCTGGAGGAAGAAGTAAAAAACTCTTAAATGTCAAACAGCAAGTTTGCAAAATAAGGGGAGAAGTTGATTGTCATTGTTGCAACATGCCTCTTTCTTGGAAACCAACTCTTCTTATTTTTCTTTTTTGTAAGATTAGAAATGGGAAACAACACCAGTTATGAAGAATTTATCCTCTTGGGTTTCCTGATTGGACGTAAAGCAGAGATATTCTTGGCAACAATACTGATAGTGGTGTATTTGTCCACAATATTTGGTAACTTGACTATTCTGTTTATCACTATTACCAACAGTTGTCTCCATATGCCAATGTATTTCTTCCTTGGCAACCTCTCTGTCCTAGACCTTGTTTTTTCAACAGTGACTGTTCCCAGTTTGCTACAGAATCTCCTCTCTGGAATAAAGACCATCTCCTTTGCTAGCTGCATGGCCCAATCCTATTTCTACTTCTTCCTGGGCACAGTGGAATACTTCCTCTTGACATGTATGTCCTATGACCGCTATGTAGCCATATGTAACCCATTACATTATTCAATTATCATGAATGGCTATTTTTGTGTTCAGATGGTGCTGGCTTGCTGGTTGGGTGGGTTTGCCTTTGTCCTCTATCCAACCATCATGGTAACCAGGTTCTCCTATTGCCATTCCAATGTCATCGATCATTTCTTCTGTGACAGTGAACCTCTACTGAAGTTATCTTGTACTGACACCAGCTTGATACAGATAATCCTATTTGTGTTATCATCAGTCGTCATTCTTTGCTCCTTGAACCTGACGCTTGTCTCTTACATTTACATTGTCTCTACTATTTTGGTTATACCCACTGACTCTGGGAGGAAGAAGGCTTTCAACACATGTGTGTCTCATCTCACTTTGTTCTTGATGGCTTCCAGTGTCTCCATCTTACTGTATGTGATCCCAGCTAAACAGTCCAGTTTGGGGGCCCGCAAAATTCCAGCATTACTCAGCAGCATAGTTAATCCATTCCTGAGTCCTTTTGTGTACACCCTGAGGAACAATCTAGTTAAGAGAATTTTGCAAAAATTCTTTGATCAGGGTCAAATGCTCATGGTCCAGAAAGTGCAGAAATTCCTCATAATTGTGATCAGTTTTGTAGGGAAAGCTAGAATTTAAAACACTGGCACACAACTTTTTTTTCCAGTCTGAATGTGGAAGCCAGGCTTCAGGAAATAAGCAGAGTTTCAAAGAAGTGGGCCTGGCAAGGAAAAAACCCTACATCATATTTAATTTAATGCAAATGTCATTAAAATAATAAAATATTGTTTAAATGATGACTTTCTATTATTTAATATTTACTCCATTCTGCTACTTTAAGATTTAGTCTTTCTTTCAAGATCCAAGACCCATGTGCTCCCCTGTATAGTGTCTTCCCTGGTTGCCACGTTAAATGATACCAAGGTATTTTTTTAACAAGTGAACATGATAATCCTCATAAATTTATCAGCTGTCAGCCTTGCAAGGTAGTTGAGACATGAAGTACACCCAGATGAACTAATTCCATTTTATTGTAAGGTTCCATTAACCGGATCTTCCCAGTCTGAAAGTCTATTTCTCCCTCATCACCTTTACAGTCCAAGAAACTAGGGAGGGTCCTTTCTGAGATGTTTGCCATGCCTCCATTCCTTCTGTGGGCTCAGCTGCCTCTTATCTGACCATTCCCCTGGCTGTGGCTCTTCCCACTATCTCCCAAGGTCATTCCCACATACCATTACAACAGGACATCCCTTGCTTCTGCCACTGTTCCTCCACACATACAATGCCTTCTTTATCCTGGATGTGCCTGAATTGGTCATGTCACTGAGACCTTATTGTAAGTCCTCATGTATGGAGTGCTATGGGAAACATTGCTGCACTAAAGAACTGTAATGAACACAGGTTGACACAAACTTCTGTTGGACTAGAGACGTGATAGTAAATTGATTGGCTGGATACATAGGATGAAATCCAGACTTAATTATAATTAAATGATCAAAAACAAATGATCAGTTTTAAATATTGTCTTCTCATAGGGACGAATCACATTTTATGGCATGTGGGAAGATTATATACTAATAATAATAATTCTTATTTTGATAAATTTAATTATATATATGCATACGTATGTGTGTATATGTGTATGTGTGTGTGTGTATGTGTATACAAACTAAGATTAAATATAGAGATATAGTGTTCTGGATTATTATATTATTGTTTCTTTCTTAGTTCTAGACTTTTTAAATATTTTTTTTAAATGGAAGTTTTATTTATTTGAAAAGTTCATAAGGCCAGTATCCCAGTATTGACGTTTGATTCATATGCTAGACATGTATATTTGAATCTCAATATAGATAGAAAGAGTAACTGCAAAATACTTCTCTAGTTTACATCTTAACCCAACAAGGAGAAACAGAAGATCCTGAACCACCTAAATATGAACTGATCTCATTAACTCCCTATTCTTCCCAGATACCCTTTTTTTCAGGGGGTCAGGAGCACCATTGTAGTGAGAACTTCAAACCATGATAAACAAAGTAAAGGAAGGGAGGGGGTCTTCCCACTACAGTAATCCCACATGTCAAAACCCACATTGGACAAACTGCAGGTAACTACAAGGGATGTCGCTGCAGGCTATGTTTGGAGCCCCAAGAAGGGTCCATGTAACACTGTTGCTCCGCGAGCTGCATTGGGTACCAGTTTGCTTCCGGGTCCAATCCAAGGTGTTGGTTATCACCTTTAAAGCCCTACATGGCATGGGACCAGGTTACCTAAGGGACCACCTCTTCCCCATGACTTCAAACCGTCCCAACCGATCACATAGGAAGGGCATGCTTCAGACCCCCACAGTAAAAGACCTCCAGTTAGTGGGGTCCAGAAGGCAGGCCAAGATCCGCATAGTCAAAGCTATGGTTTTTCCAGTAGTAATGTATGGCTGTGAGAGCTG